TATAAGGGTAAACTTTCCAACTTTAGCCTTAGAGAGAGTCTTAATCCATAAAGCCCTTGAGCTCTCCCGATAAGGCCCCAAAGCACAGATCTAGTGTCCAAAGGTTGGATAATCACGTTAAGTTTCCAAATTTACGTCCATGCAAGCTACAAGTACCCTCTATAGCTTAATAAGGACTTTATGAGGGACTTATGGCATGAATCGGGCTTGGAATTAAAAATTTTGGAACTTTCAGCCATGAGAAGTCAAGAAAGGGTTAGATCTGACATATTAACCCTTGGAATTAGTCTCTTTTGATCACAAAATTAATTCCAAACTAATTATTGATCAATACTAATTAAATAATTCATATTAATATATTAGAACTTATAATATATTAATAAGCCACAAATATCCTCTTCTCAAAAAAGTCTATCCAAATTGTTCCGATGCCATGCAACCCAAATGGATTATGCCAAATCGGGTCAAGTACATACCAAATATAGTTATAGACTTAGACACCTTATACAAAAATACCCTCGTGGCACTCACGGTGTGATCCTCCACAATCTCCACCTTAAGTGGAGAATCCAAGGTCCCCATAGCATCCCAAAACTTCTTACTGAGAGCAAGAGATACGAATGATCGGGTGACCCCCGAATCAAAAAGAACATGAGCCGACACCCCATTGAAGAAGAAGGTCCCTATACAAAATTATAACACAATAAGCATAACAATAAAACAACAAGAAAAATAGATCACATACCAGTCTCAATGTCTGGCGCTTCTCGTGCCTCCTCTGAAGTCAGCTGACGTGCGCGACTCATCACAGTAAGAGCCTCCGCCTTGATCAGGAGGCCATCTGTAATCCTCATGGTGGTGGGTGCAGGCGCCGCCACCGCTCCTCCTAACCTAACCTAACTCATACAATTGGCCTTTTTATAACTGTTCTGGTTGAAGTGGAAAGAAAATCAAGCCCTTCTTGGGGCAATCCAGGCTCATGTGACCCGGCTGGCCACATGCATAACATCCTGAGCCCGCTCATCGGCAGGCTCCACTCCGCGGCTTACCGCACTTGGCGCAATAGCTATGGACCTGTATGGACCTTCTAGGAAGATTGGAGGCCCTAGGATTCTTGGCCTGACCTACTGTTATCTAAACCTACTCACGCTTCCGCTTCGTGTGGAGCTCTAACTCAATATCCCGTTCTCAGGCCTTCTCCACCATCTCATTCAGGGTCTTGCATCCTGAAAAACTCACAAACTCCCAAATATCATCTCTCATCATGGAATGATACCTATTCTTATTCATATCCACATCCACAATGAACTGCGAAACCAAAAGTGCACTCTCTCAAAACTTAGGGGTGATCTCTGCCATAGTCTCGGTAGTCTGCTTTAAATCCTGGAACTCTCTAACAAAATGATGCATCTTGATGGATGGTGCAAACTCCCGATCAAACGTCCTCATAAACTCCTCCCAAGTCATCTCATCCACCCCTGCAGATCCCACCTCACGGGTCACCTCCTCCCACCAGTCTCGTGCTCAATCCTTCAACATACAAGATGCGAACCCTGATTGGTTATGAGAATAACTACATCCTATATGATCATGCAACCCTAATTGATTAGGATCTATTTTTTTCACTACTTGAACATGCAACTGAATACCAAAACAATAAACCGTAGATCTAGAATACAATTTTCGAAAAACATATAACAAAAGGGTTTTGAGTTTACCTTCTTGTTGTGTAGTAATAACAAGAACTCCTTGTAGATCCTTGACTCTTGAAGGCTTAGTGCCTTAAAGTTGCACCTCTAATGGCTCACAAACACCACTAGCAAGAAGATGAGAAAGAGAGAGGAGGAAGCTCTTAGAATTTAGGCTAGGGTTCTCTAGATGCAAGCATTAGCTGAAAATCCTAAGCCTAGGGGTTTCTTATATAGCTGAGGGCTACTAGGGTGTTTGGAGGAAACCCTATATTCCTGCTTAAGGCTTAAGCAACCCTTAGTCCTTTCACTAAGAAGCCTTGGACGAAATCTATAGGGCATCCTTATAGAATTTTGTCCACTCTTAATTAAGGAGTCCATCAGCCCAGTTTAACAACTATCACTGATTTGCAAAATAACTCATATTCTTTTAATCAGTTCATTTAATCCCAAAGTTAATTCCAAATTTAGTTCTGATTAGATACAAATTAAATAACTTGATTTCTAATTAATATATTATTTTCATAACACATTAATACATCAATTTAGTATTCCAAATAATAAATTCAACCTCTCTCTCCAAAAGTCATGTTATCAAGTTGCTAGGGTGAAGGAAACCCAAAAGGACCTTGCTACTATCAAATCAAGTACAAACCAATTATAGTTATGGGCTTAAACACCTATTCAATAGTCTCCCACTTGGATAAGTCTGATAACTATAATTGCAAGTATAACTTCAAAATTTGACTAGCAATCGTAGCTTTCAAAACCCGATGTCAAACTCTGACTTAGTCAGTCGTGTGTACTTAAGATAAAGGATCATATAATCCTTAGTTCTGCAAGATATCATGTGGACAAAGACATGGAACAAAATCATTCTCATTGTCCAACAGTTTTTTTTCCCGATTTCTGATTTGTATGATGAAAAACTTAATTAAACACATCAATTCAGTCTTGACCGGGCCTGACACATAAGTCAACACCAAATCATCCAGGGGCCCAAGGTATCGCTTTTACGCCCTTGGGATAAAACAAACATATAAACATTGAATTATGTGCTTGTATTATTTACTCATCAACTCATACACAACAATATGTTTTATAACATCAAGTTATTGATGCGTTTACGCATTATCAATTCACAACCAACTCGTAAACAACAACTCATATATGTCAGTTTAAAGACTATATGATATTATCATCTTACAATTACTCTTGATAAATTGCATGAAGTAATTCAAATGAGCGTAGGTTTAATCCAATACTCAAATCCCCATTTCAGGAGTACTCATGAACACTGCAACAAACATTTGCTATGTCTAAATGCTTAGACAATCTACAAACAAATTCATGATTGTCTTAATTCACAACTTATTTCCAAAGTATGATTGGCTGTGGATAACTTGAATAATCAAATTATTCTGGAAGTAAAACATGCAAAGGCGAAGCACAAGTTAAACATTACAAAAGATAGTTAACAATACCCATAAATAAATCTTGATTACTTAATCGTCAAATGCCAATTACATTGATATATTACAAGTTTCTAAAATATTTATCTAATCACTAAAACTAATATCATCCTTCAGACCAATGCTCCTTGCATGCTGAATGTGCTTAATCCTACTCAGACCCTTTGTGAGGGGATCTGCAGGAATCTGTTCTTATGATACCCTCTTGAAGACGAGGAGTTCTTCTTCTACCTGATGTCTGATGAAGTGGTATTTTCTGTCGATATACCTGGATCTTCCATGATCCCTTGGTTCCTCGGTCAAGGAAACCGCTCCTTCATTATCACAAAAAATCCCCATGGGCTCCTTTATAGCTAGCACAATTCCAAGGTCTCCAATGAAGCTCTTCAACCATATAGCCTCCTTTAAAGCTCCGCTTGCGGTTATATAATCTAACTCACACATTGAATCAGCCACTATCTCCTACTTGGAACTTTTCCAACTTACTGCTCCTCCATTAAGTGTAAACACCCAACCATACTGAGAATGGAAATTATCTCGGTCTATCAGTGTTGTGATATTTCTGAGAATAGATGGGTCGAGATTGTTGGTGAATCTTGCAGAAACAACTTGCCCTAATATCATAGTATAAAATAAGATAGATATTGTTAGTCGATGTCCGAGTGGGGATCTAAGGACAAAGCTCTGACGATCTAATTAGTATGAGATCTAAGAGAGATGGTAAGTGATTATAGAAAAGATAGAACTCCTTCCCCCTTCTTTGTGAGGAAGAAGGATCCTTTTATACCTATCTTAGAGGCTATCTCCCAACTGATTCTGTTGAAGACTCTCTTATGAGGTGCGATGTGGAGACCCATATTGGAGGGTCCTCCATCACGTCTTTTGCCTCATTCTCCCATTAGCTGGAAGGAGATCTTCCAAATGTTCACGAATATCACGGCTATCCTCTGATGAGCGAGTGGAACTCTCTGGTTGGTCCCATGTTTTCCAGGGTATGATTTCCCAAAGACGAAGGCCCGAACTTGGCTTTAGAATTGGTTCTGACCAAGCCAAGCCCGATATCAGTTTGACTTGTCTTTTGATGATTCCTAGAGGGATAGATTAACAAGTCCCTTATGCTTGTAGGCATATGCATCGGTATGACAACATTTTCGTTTGAGCCTATATCTCGACACGTGTTTGCTTGGGATTAGTTCTATCAGTTGGCATGCCTTAGCTAGTGCTGTTAATGTGTCAGATTCATCATGAGACGGTTTGTGACAATATTTTTTTAGTTAATACCCCCTTTCTTCCAACACCTTTCATCCTTACCTCCTTTCTTCACCCTCATTGTATCTATTTAGGCCTTATGTGAATCTTTCTTTCTGATCACTTATCTTTTCCTCGACGATGGACCGTTACAGTAGAGTCCCTACTGCTGAGGAGTTCTAATTTCTGCAAGATCGCTTTAATTTCTTACCAGAACACGGTGTAATGATTCCTGAAAAGGGAGTATTGATCTACGATTGTCCTCCAAGGAAAGTTAGGGTTCCTATTCTTTTGTTCGAAGTGGGGTTGCGCCTGCTGACATCAGATTTTTGATATGATCATGCAGCATTATGGTTTTACTATCGATGAGTTAACCTTGAGCGTTGTTAATAAGATTGTCGGCTTTGAACATATATGTCACTCTTTGGGTCGCATTCCTACCTTCTGGGTTTTCAGTTATTTATTCTGCTCAACTACAAACTTCGGCGTCCCTACCCTAGATAAGCGACGAGGTATTCACCAACTGATCTCTAAGCTGGATACTTAGAAGAAGAACTGGAAAAGGAAATGGCATTGGGTCGAACGAAACCTCATGGGGCATGGGTATCATAGGAAACTAAACTTTTCCGACCGTCTCCCGAAGTTGTTTAAGGACAATCTGGCTCTTGGTAGACGGTTAGGGAGTGTTACTATGTGTGGAGAAAACCGGGAAGGCTTTATTCTTGCTGCAGCTGGTATGAGTGCTGCCTGGAGGGCTCGCCGGAAGAATGCACAAATTTTTGTCCTAAGATTCCGTAGTAAATAATTTCCTCCCCCCCTTTTTTTAAAACAGAGTGAGGACAAGATATCTTGTTGTCTTGTGATATCTTACTTTTGGTGTTTACTTTCATAGGTGGGGAGGCTAAGATTTCTTTTGAGATGGCCCTAAGTGGTCACTATCAGGGTAAAATTTGCTATCGGGAGATCGATTTTGTAGAGGTTCTTTCTCATCCTGTGTCTGAAAGACGCATACGGGAGCTTGCTGGGCTGCTCTTGATAAAAAGGGGAAATATGGGTTCCAGCAGGCATGCGTCACCTTCTCAACGGACCATTGTGGCTGTTTCCCTAGTTCGCTTTCCAATTGTTGTTCAATCTAGTTTTCCTGTGGGTGTACAACCAGGAAGCTGTCGTTGTTAGATGAAGAGATAAAATCCGATGATGCGGGTCTTTGTCCTCGTAAAGCTCGTAGGACTTTGCCTATGGACAGGCTCCTTCATGGTATTGAGGATATTCTCGGCAGTCAATTTTTTGTACCTGAATAGAGAGAGGTGGTGGTGGTGCCAAGTTCTCCTGGGGCCACACCCTCTCAATTCGCTGGTTCGTCCTTGGTTAATCTTGGTCCCTGCTTTGTAGCTGGGGGTGCATGGAGTTCTCCTGGGGTTTCTATTCAACGTGAGAATCCTTCCCTGATCAATGAAACATGGACTTTATCTCACTCCCCGTCTTTTGAAGCCTACACTCCTGGCTGGGTGATTACTAGGGATTCCTTGCTGTCAGAAGACACTACCACCAAGGATTGGAGTTGGTGCGCTCATCCTCTAGCCAAGATAGGTTCGATTGTGGTTCAATTAAGTGTTGGCATGGCTGGTGACCTTTTTACACCGCGGCCTAGACTTCTACCCTTATCGTTGTTGTCGTCGATAGGTTTAGCAGGTTGCGTCAATTTCATGTTGAGCAGAACATCATTGTGGCCTGCGAGAAAGCCGCTTTAGAGGATCATGTGGCTACTTTGGAATGCCAGTCAGAAGAATTGAGGACCAAGTGAGTTCTCTCTCGAAAGATAAGGATGTGCGGGCAAGTAGATTCATAAGGTGCCAACGTTAATTAGCTCGAGCCCGTGCTGAAGGTGTCGTTGCTCGAGCTAGTTTGTAGTTGGTATTATAGAAGGGGGTGGTTCGTATGATTGACAGGGTCATCAAGAGCTCGGAGTTCCCCAAAGGGGTACAGGATGTTCGTGAGGCTTGTGAAGCCCTTAAGTTTGAGAATCGGAGGCAACTAAGTGGTTGCTCCACATCTTCCGGTAAATACGAAGTTTTGGGTCCTAGCCAGGCTTGCTGGCCTATTTCGTTTAAGGGAGTTAGCTTATGATGGCTTCCATCAGTTTTGTGGCAAGCTGAGCTCGGGAGGTTCTTCCTCAAACTCCGAGGGTTGACTTGTATATTCCCCATGTTGCTCGTCTTTCTGTGTACTATTTGTATAGTGTAAAACATTAGTTACTAATAACCATGGACTTTTCTTTTTCTTTTGTATTTGGTATGGAAGTGTTTTCTTCCCTTCTCTTTTTATATGTATGCACATGCTTTGAGTTGTAATTCGTTCTTACACATTCCCTTGTTTAAGGGTTTGCGTTAATCTGGTAACGTGTGCTTCAGATGTCGCATAGCTACTACTCCTAAGCTATGTTCCTCTGACTTGTATTAGGCTTATGATAATAATCCATGAAATAATAGTCAACATTGTTGACTATGCTGTATGGTGTAGCTACCAATACATTGGATGAGATCATCATTTCAAGGCCTTTACTGTTCAATTTTTAGGGGGAAAGTTTATGAACCTGTTACGACCCCTCGTTTTTTGCCATTTAAACTATCTCAGCTTTGAGATGTTATTTGTCATATTGTAGGTAAATTTTATGACTCTGTTACGACCCACGACTGCATTCTTACATAGATTTTGCTCAAGTAGTATAGGTGATTAGTCGTTGTTGCTACTTGGAAAATATGCACAACCTCTATAATTTGTGTTTTTGCAATACAAAATTCTGGAAAGTTTTTTCAAAATGCAATTTATATTATTTTAAAAGGAAAAAAGGAAAGACGTGAGACAGTAGACGTCAGGGCATGTGCCCAATCTTTGCTTTGGCACCTGAAGTATGGCTATCATGTGTGAAGTTGGGCCATACTTCTTGTTTGGCAGTGACATCTTTCTATGCCTGATGTAGGTTAGCCTTCATAGGTTGGGGCTTCCTCTTATTTTCCCCAACGGGGCCTGGCGTGGGGGAGTTATGTTTCCTTTCTCGTTCCCTAGGGATGTTCTTGTTTGTCTTTCTTTGCGACCCGATGAATGTTACAATTGTAGGAAGCGCCTCCCCTTGGTCGGGTGAGAGTGCCTCCTATGAGTTTCTACGCACTAATCTTCCATGCATTTCTCGCTATCACTATAGATGCGGCTTTTCTTACCGAGGGCTCTTGCTGGTGCTCTCGTACAAGAAAACCTACTCGATAAAAAGAATGGTATTCTACCTCCGCTATTGTTGTTTCCGTGCACTTGCACCCTCTATTCTGAGGGGCTTTAGTTTATCGACGAAGATTTTCTCTGGATACCAAATTGTTCTTTTCTTTGGCCTTACTTGGTTTTCAATTACGGGCAGGCGCCTTGGCTTGTGGGTCAGCGTTTTTTCGTCGTGTGCTTGTCACTCTGTATTCTTGTTGAGCGTTCCTTGGATTGGCTTGAGTTCCCTTCCGTGGGAGAGATGTTGCGAGTCAACTGAACACATCTCGTCGTCGTTTCCTGGTCTCGCGGGCTGGCATTTGTACCACATCAAATTTCATTTGTGGGTCTTCTCCTTTTTGGTGACCTTTGTTTTGACGCGATTGGGTTTCTTGCCTTGATCCTCGTTAGGTGTCGTGCCCAATTGCCGACTTGGTCGCTACTACCGTTGCTGACCCATCAGTCGTGCAAAATTTGAGAACACCATGAAGGATAGATAGGATTGCTTGTAGCTGGAAAAGGGTAGGCCAGTCTAAGAGAATGTTATGCTTTGTCGGGCGATCGACAACCGAGAAATCAAGCACCCTTGTTATCTCCTTTGCTCCGTCATGACTAGTCAATATGAATAGGATTCTGATTATTCCCATTGGCCAAATGTGGTGACCTGTGAAGCCAAGCCAACTAGTGGGCCCTAGCGCGGTGGCTGGAGGTACTCTTTCCATTTGGGCTGTTAACGAAGGCAGTGCTTATAGATCATGTTGACTCTGTTTCCGTTGTCGTTGTAAATTTGTTTTGGATCATTGGGGTCCTAATGTTCTGGTCCGGGGTTGCTTACAGAGAATGATATGTTGAAGATGTTTTGGTGGTATGGCCCTACATCGGGATATCTTGGTGGTTGGTGCATAAGCGGGGCCCGGTGATGGTGAGTATCTCCGCCCTTTTTGCGGTCTTCTCCTACAACCTTTTGATTTTTGGACTGGTGTTTATCCTCGTCAAAATTTTCCCTGAGGTCTTTTGTTATATCAACAACGTTCCCCACTAGTTTTTTTTCATCAATCTCCCTCTTTAGCACTGTACACTAGTTTATACCGTGAGTTTTGCTTTTATGATAATCACAAAACTTGGGCTTGTCTTTGTTTTCCTTGGTTGGGGGCCTTGTTGATTGCATGAATATTGGTATGACCGCTTTTGCTATCATAACTATAGAACAGTCTGTACCTTCTGGACATATGCTGGGGTTGACAACTGTGTCGCTGTTGGTCGCCATCTTGCCTTCTCTACTGGGCCGAGATTGGCCACGACACTGCCTCCTCCAACTTTGCATATGCATTGGCTATAACTTTGATATTGGCCTCCTTTCGCTCTTCCCATTCGATTTATGTGATATCCCTATTTTCTCGGCCAAAAAAGATCGATTTCGTTTATGCTTTTAAAATAAAATCAGAGTAATTTTTCAAAAAGTGTTGAGGAATTTGTCCCCAAAACAAAATATGATAAAAAAAATATGTATCAAAGCATTTCTTAAAGAAATATATTTTCATTTCATTACAAAACTTAGGATGTCGACATCAATATAGACCAAAATCATAAACTGTACAATATTGGCCTTACAACATTTATTTACAAATATTGGACTATAATCCGAAATCTCTCGTCATCGTCCAACTATGCTATTGTTCCACTACCTGTAATATAGAAAGCTGAGTGTGTTAGACTTGGGAGCCTGGTGAGCATATAGGGTTATCAAACCACAAATAATAAATTTATTAATTTCACTAACCAATAATAAATTTATGAATTTCATCAACCAACAATAACCTCGATTACCCTTTCCAGTTATCCACACTTTACGTCCCTAAACACCTATCATAAGGGAACTAGTCTAAGGATCATCATCAGGATGGAAAATACTAATAAGGGGATTCCTCAACCATATATGTTCATAAGGAAACCATGAGGGGATGGAGTACACCAGTGAACATATCGTTTACAAACACCTATAGGTTGCGCGCCTGTCAACGTTCCCCTTGACTATCTAGAAAGGTCTGTGGTCGTCATCTATACTCTGCTAGATGACTAGAACAACGACAACATCGAGTTCTCTCTTCATTTTATAACACATCAACTATTTAATCTACCCATGTTTTACCCAACATATTTGTAGATAAAATACATATACAATTTAAAACCTATATAAAACATTCAGTCAACACTCATCTCAAATAAAAAAACAATATGCAGACACATAGCAAATATTTTATAGAAAATACTTCATATCAATGTGTAAGATGAAAGTGACCACACACTTACTTGATTAGACAGCGACTGGATAGAACTTCGTCCCTTAAAACAATCTTTTTCGATGAAACTGTGATGTTTTCTCAAAAACCAAGCTTTATGCGGTCAGAGTTTCGACTCGCAAAATTCTTTTTCTCAAGGTCTTCGGGCTCTACGGGGCTTTCTTATGATGTTAGGATGGTAACCTAGGATTTCGGAGCTTTAGGATAGGCTAAAAGGGAGTAGAGAGTGAAAGAGAGAAGGATTTTGTAACATTAACTCGGTTGGCTTCGCATGCTATTTATAGGAGGCTGATGATTCACATTACGTTGGGCGTAATTTTAAGGTACATGGGGCGTACTACTTCACCAGCCATTACGCTGGGCGTACATCGAGTACGTTGGGCGTAAGAATGGATCGTCCCGGACGCGTCATAGCTACAAACACATGTGCATCATGCGAATGAGTAGGCAACGTGGCCAATCTCGGACCGTATACACATAAGTACGCTAGGTGTACATACCTTGTACGCTGGACATAGTGGCTACGTGCCTTCTGTTTGACTTCCAGGATTTAGACGTGCAAAAGCTACTAACACGTATCAGATCTAGTCCGAGTACATTGGGCGTAATCTTTTGTACGTGGGGCGTAATCTTTTGTACGCGGGGCATACTCCTTCGTGAGTTAAATTTTCAACTTCAAAAATTACTGACTTTCGTATACGAGCTCCGTTTTTACGTTCTTTATATGCACTTGTAGGTATGATTATACTCTACTGTTGGATAAGGTGTCTAAGTCCATAACTATTTCTGGTATGTACTTGACCCGACCCGGCATGGTCCATTTGGGTTGCATGGCACCATGCAATTGGATAAACTAAATGAGAGAAATAACGCTTGGAGATTATTAATATATTATAAGTTCTAATATATTAATAATATTATTTGATTAGTTTGATCAAGAATTAATTTAGAATTAATTAAGTGATCAAAAGATAACTAATTAAATATATGGGTTGATTAAGTAAATCATCCATATCTTGTATAGTGGGCTAAAAGGCTCCATGGATCATCAAGTTGGGTTCCACCCATAGGATGCTCCATGGATGCTCCATGGGAGTTACAAACCCATGGGTCATGGAAATGAAGAGTCATGACACATTAGGGTTTAACCCTAGATGTGTCAACACTATATAAGAAGCATAATCTCCACCAAAATCGGTTGC